TCCAAAAGGGGACATGACTCCAGAGACAGGCTGAGCTTGCTCAGCTTCTGGCACAGAAGGCGTCCATCCCAGAGAGAGGGGTACTGAGGACACCCTGAGATCCTGCCGCGGCCTGCAGATGTGAGGGCTTCCCAAGGAAGCAGAGATATGGAGGAAAGTTTGCAGATGCACAGCCTGCAGCTTGGGGCAGAGACCCCGTCTCCAGGCTTCCCCGATGACCCTCCTTTGTCCTCAGGCTTGGTAAGGACCCCAGTCTCCACCTCTGCTGTGGTCGGAGCGGGGGATGGGGTGAGAGCCTTGCTCTGGCTTCTGCTTGTTGGCTGTGCCTCCTGGTCTCCTGCTTGGATGGAGCCAGGAGGGAAAGGAGAATGGAAAGAGAAATAAAAGTAGCTGGAGGATGAAGGATGCCCATCTGCCATGTAGTGATGGGGCCTGAGGAGGAAGGAGGCTATGTAGGCTCCCAGCTAAGAGGCTGAATCGGGGCTCCCTGGCGTCCACAGGCCCGAGGAGTAGCCCGTGCTTGTGGGAGGTCAGAGAATAGAACAGAAACCTGACAGACTTGGAGCCAGTTAAATCTGGGCTGAAGTCCTGCTGTTCTGGGTCAAATCGCCAACCTCTCTGAGCTCACTCCCTAACACGGGTAGCACTACCAACCTTAAAGAGTTCGAGTGAAGATTCAACAATAAAGTTCCAGCCCAGCTCCTGTGAAGCATCTCCACTCAGAGCACAGAAACCAGCACCATGCCCATGATCCTGGGTTACTGGGACATCCGCGGGCTGGTGCACGCCGCCCGCCTGCTCCCAGAGTACACAGACTCGAACTATGTGGAGAGGAAGTACACGATGGGGGATGCTCCCGACTATGACAGAAGCCAGTGGCTGAGTGAGAAATCCAAGCTGGGCCTGGACTTCCCCAATCTGCCCTACTTGATTGACGCGGCTCATGAGCTCACCCAGAGCAACGCCATCCTTCGCAAGCATGACCTGCGGCGAGACAGAGCAAGAGAAGATTCGCGTGGATGTAGAACCAGGTTTTGGATGTCCGCTTGTACATGGCCAGGACCTGCTACAGCTCTGACTGTGAGAAACTGAAGCCTGCATACTTGAAGGAGACCCCTGAAAAGATGAGGCTCTTCTCAGATTTTCTGGGGAAGAGGGCTTGGTTTGCAGGGAGCAAGCTCATCTATGTGGACTTCCTGGCTATAACATCCCGATGTGCACTGCATATGTGAGCCCGAGCGCCTGCATGAATTCCCAAACCTGAAAGACTTCATTTCCCATTTTGAGGGCCTGAAGAAGGTCTCTGCCTACATGAAGTCCACTCACTTGCCTCCAGGCCCTCTGTTTCTAAAGATTGCTATATGTGGGGCAACAAGTAGTGCCCTGGAATCAGGAGATGGGAGTGGGGAGCTGGTGCCCTGGAAAACAGCTGGATCTCGTGCACCCAAAACCATCTGTCTTTTTCTTCCTCCTTCTGTTCACTCTAGATGCCTTCTCGGCCCCCTTATCTCCCTCCCAACTCCCTTTTCATCTATCCTTTAAAGCTTCCGTCCCCACTTTTCTTCAGCAAAGTCCCACCCCACCCCACATTGTCCCTCCTGCACTAAAGACGACCAGATGACCCTTCCCTTCCATGATGGCTTCTGCTATGGGGAGCCCAGCCAGACCCCTGGCCCATAGCGCTCGCTCTGAGCTCCCAGCCCTGCCCTGAAGACCGGAATTGGCCTGGTGTGCAGGCCCTGCTTCCTGGTGTGGTTCCGGCCCAGCCCTGTCTGAACCCCAGTAAAGCTTTCATCATACCTGCAGGAAAAAGAAAAAAGATTCAGCAATAAATGTACTAGAATCCCTGGAGCGTAGTAGGTGCTTCTAACTGCTAGTTCCCTTCCTCTCATGATCCCAGCTGGCCCAGCCCCCTCGCTTTGCCCTCCAAGCTTCTGAGAGCCGAGACCAGGTGATGTCCTCCAGGTGCCCCAGTTGTTCTGGCAGGGGAGGGCCCAGTGATTCCTGTCCAGGGTCTTCTTCCTATGGAGCTTCCTGGAGTCACTGCCAGGCACCAGAGCCCCGGTCACAGACTCTCGGGCACGTGTCTTAAAGACAATGATGCAAAGTGGTCGCACAGCAGATCCCGGGGTTCAGGAGAAATGTAACTGTTGGTCTAAAGCCACAGGTCACCAATGCACAGTGAGGGGGCACTTTGACCGCGAGGGCCCTGAACCCCAGACCGGCTCGGACGGGCCTGCCCTTGTCTGGAGAGGTGAACAGGTCATAGCCCCGCAGCCTTGGTCCCTCTGCCACCTGCTGGCACGTCAGTAAGAGATGGATTTGCAGGCAGACAGATGTCAGTTCAAATCTCAGCTTTATCACCTGGCCGCATGACGTGGGCAAGTGGCTTGGTCTCCCTAAGCCCAGCTCTCTGGTCTCAAAAGGAGGACGATGGCTCACTCGGAGGGCGGCCTCCAAGAGCAAGCCGCGAGAGGCACACCATTTAATCACCACCCAGTGGAGATGACTGGACGGTGCTTCAGACGCTGGTGGTGTTAAGTGGCCCGACAGCCAGACCAGTGACTGGTGGCCTTGACAGTGTACTTCACTAACCTCTGACCTCCTCTGTCCCTTTGCCTCGCTTAAATCAGACCCAGTGCCATCAAGTCCCGATCTCTTGATTCCTCTTGTCAGCCTGACACTCCGCGGTCCCCGCATCTTCTGAGTGGCCCTGCTGGAAAAGACCCATCCCACCTGGCCACTGGCTCACCTGGGGCACAGCAGGTAGGTCTCCCTCCTAGGGTGACTCCTTGGGCCAGGAGCCAGCGGTCCCTGGCAGGAGGGGGCTGGGCCCCCTGGAAGAGGGACGAGCATCCTGCTTCTGGGGTCGGGCCTCCGCTTGGGAGCTGGCTCAGGCCCGTCACCGGTCGCTCAGCCTCCCGGGGAGCCTGCCGTGTGGAGTGTGTGACCAGCCCTTTGCCCTCTGTGCCCCTGGCCTGCATCCAGCAGACCCGTTCACACCTCAGTTAGCCACTTAGGGAGAAGAAAGAGCAGGGGGAGCTGGAGAAATCTGTCCAGACCCTGATGAATAGTTTCCCAAGCCTGCCAGTTGCCATGGCAGCCAGCTGGGAGCACCGTTTCCAGGGCCCGAGGCGCTCAGACCTGCATAAGGGGCAGCTCTGCTGGGCTGCTGCCCACTCACCTCCCCCACCCAGCCTCCTGGCTCCTTAGCAACTGCCGTCACCAGCGCCATCGCCACCACCGCTGCAGCTTCTGCACTGGCGGCTGGGCGTGGGAGTGGGGCACTGTCCAGGGATGCTCTCGGGGGAGGCAGGGAGTGCATGTCCGGCAGAGCTGAGGTGCTTATGAGGTTGGGAGGGGAAAGCCTGGGCCAGCCTTGCTGCCACAGCCCCGGGATCCTTCGTGACTACATGGAAAAGCAGCTCGTAATCTTGGGGTCGGATGATCACCCCTGATTTCTAAGAACATGTTTGTGTATCTCTGTGTATGTGGATTTTTCTGAGAAAGAGTTTATAGTTTTTATCCAACTCTCAAAGAAGACTAAGATCCCCAGTAGGTAAGAGCCGCAATTACGGAGCCTTTTGCTTTCAGAGTCAGAATGATCTCAGGGACTGGTTGATCCACAGGCTTGGGAGGTACGCACAGATGAAGGGGTGAGCGCGGCAGCGTAGGGACAGATGGCGTGCTACCCGGGGAACCCCACAGGGACTGAAACCTACCATCTGCCCCACTGGGGACCTCTGGGAACAGGGGGTGAGGTGACCCTCCTGACCATCCTGAATGTTCCGTCCTTCCCGCCCTCCTCCGCCTCACAGCTCTGCCCCGAGGTCAGCCATGTAAACCACGCATGTTTGCTGTGCCCAGGCCCTGAGCTCCGCGTCTTACACACCCTGTCCACAGGGTCCCATCAACCCTCACGCCAGGGGAGTACGTTCCCTCACCACTGCTGTTTAGAGACGAGAATATTGAAGCAACAAAAAAGTAAGCCATCTGCCAAGTCGATGCAGTTAGGCGTCGGAGGGGCGAGGGGCCGTGGACCAGCGCGCCCCGGCCTGACCCCAGCCTGCGAGCTCGGGGCCCAGTCTCTGGTCTCCCAGCCACACACCGAGGATCCTGACGAGTCCCACCCCAAAGGAGTTAAAAGAGGCAGCACGACATTCGAAAAGCGCTTAGAACAGCCCCTGCCACCAAATGAAGCAGAGGCAGAGCAGGGTCCAGCCACATTCTGTCTGGTTCTGGCGCTCAGGCGCCCCGAGAAGGTGTTCAAGGTGCTTCACGTCATCTCGCCAGGGCCGGACCACGACGTGCGGAGTCCCTGCTCCACACTTGGTACCACAACACCGAGGTGGGACAGGTGCGTGGGCTCCTGGAGCTGGGTTTCCCTGTCTCCCAGGAGCAGGGGTCACAGTGTACCCTATTTTCTTGGGAGACACTGTGTAGAGTCACTGTTGGCTATGCGCCGGTCAAAGCAAGCCACCTCAGGGAGTCCTTGTAGACTGAGCCATGCTACAGAGATGCGCCCATGCCTGTGGCTCAGGGCAGAGAGCCCGGGCTGGTGTCCCTGGGTGGGTGCCCCTGGGCAGGCAGATGGCACGGTGCCTCTGGGTACCATGTGCCTGGATCAGCAGCCAGAGTGAGGAGGCTCGGCGATTCTGAGGGAGCGGGAAGGCAGCAGGGGCCCAGCCGCCCCAGGCTTTGTTGGCAGGTGGTAGGGGGGCTGGAGAGGGAGGTGAGGGGAGCTGCGGAGGAGCCCTGGAACGCCCCCAGGCCGGGTGGGCTGTTGGCATCCTCTCAGAGGGTGATGGGGAAATGATGGCTTTATTTGTCACTGCTGGGGAGAAGCACAGGGTACCATCCGATCCGCAAGCCAAGGGATCAGTCATCTGCAGGCTCTGGGGGGAGCAATCTCTCACGGCCCCTCTTCTTGCCCCAGAGGCGCACGGTGTTGAGAGCAGACGGTGAGGGGGAGGCTGGTGGGTCCTGATTCCTGAGTCACTTGTCTGCCGGGCTTCCTTTTGGGGGTGCCAGCAAGTACAGCACGCTCCAGCATCTTGGACAAACAAGCAGCCGGATGGCAGGGAGGCGAGGGTCAGACAAAGGAGGTGACGCTGTGAGTGACTCGCGCCCAGTCAGGAGCCGTAATCGGAGGTGATTAATCCATGGAGGAGAAAGCCTGGGAGGCATCGCTGACTCAGGGCTGAAGCTTCCTCGTGGCTGCTCTGTTCCCTGCCTCACCTGCCCCGCTTGCAGGCTGGAGGGGGAGGCTTGTTGAAAAGGTGAGTGATTCAGAGGCACTTTAAAAAGCAGCGTTTCTTAAGCTGATGAGCTTCTGATTCTGAATCAAAGGTGTTGTTTTTTTTTCTTTAATTTTCCAATGGTAATGTGAGGAGGTTGGGGTCTTTTCTGAGAATTAGGGGTGGAGCCCAGGGTGGACACTGCCAGGGCCCTGGACAGGCGAAGCAGTGATAATGCCCACACCAGAAAAGTGAGGGGTTTGGGGACGGCCCTGATGGGAGAGGCTGGCAGGTTGTCCAGTTAAGGCACTTGGCTATGAACCCAGTTTGGACTCCCTAGCTCTGCTCAGGTGACCCCACCTCTCTGAGGCTGTTTCCTCACCCGTAAGAAGAGAATAGAATTCCTGCTCATAGGGATTGTGGGGACCAGACTGTAGCAGCAGAGGCGGGCAGGGCAGCGCTGAGGATCTGCCCTAAACGAAGAAGGTAACTTTTCATCAGTTTCTCGCCTCTGTTCCAAAGACAAGGAAGAAATCCTGACCAAGGGGACCAGGTTTATAGTACACTGTGGTCACAGTGGAACAGTAAGTTGGGTGACACAATGATGCAAGTTGCCCCCCACACACAATAAATATTTAACGAAAGAGGCCGCTTTATTATCGGCAACCGCCTTTGGGAAGGTACCAAAGGTGCACATATCTTGAAAATGCCTGATTGGCTTCTGAGGAGACCTAGATGGTACCCCTTCTGTCTTGGGTTCGGAGTCTTAGAAACTAGAAGTCAGGGAAGTGTGAACATTCAGTGTAGAATGATCAAGATACCATTTTCATAAATAATCAAGATACTAGACCTTGGAGGTTTCGTCAAATGCTCCATCTCAGGTCAGGGCGACACCAAACATAGGCTTTGAAAGAGAGTCTAATTCTTTTCCAACTTTTCTTTTCTTTCCTTTTTTTTTTTTTAATAAGCTTTTTATATTTATTTATTTATTTATGGTTGTATCAGGTCTTAGTTGTGGCTGGCAGGCTCCTTAGTTGTGGCTCGCAGGCTCCTTAGATGTGGCTCGTGAACTCTCAGTTGCCGCATGCATGTGAGATCTAGTTCCCTGACCAGGAATCGAACCCAGGCCCCCTGCCTTGGGAGCGCAGAGTCTTATCCACTGTGCCACCAGGGAAGTCCCTCCAACTTTTCTTTATCCCAAAGGAGAAGCAAGAATCCTTGACCGGTGAGAAGAACAAGGATGGGACTTCAAGTGGCTGCCAGAATGCAAACACGGGGTGGTTGACACGAGGTGCAAAGGTACAAAGTTCGGGATGTCACCACGTTAACCTCTAGGAGGCCTCGGCCAGAGCCTGCAGGGCGATCCCAGACCAGCGGACCACCCGGCAGTCCCAGAGCCCCCGTAAGATCACAGCTGAGGACACCCACCCGAGGGGGCCAGGGCTCTGCTGGGGCTCCCGCCGAGATGCTGCCTCCATCCTGGTGTCCGTGGGCTCCCTCCTGCCCTGACCACCCCGACGGCCTGACCGTTCTGGGCACCGCTGCCATGAGCTGGCCTGTTCAGCCAGTGTGAGGCACTCACACACAGCTTTCCTTCTATTTCCCGGTGTTTATTATGACCTTGGGAAGAGCAAAGGCCATTTTTCCTTGGCAGAGGCCTGGGCTTTGGGCCTGTCTGAATTCTGGATGCAGAATGCTTCCAGAACAGCCCCACAGACCCAAGGGCTCTACAATCAGGGTGACTGAACCATCAGATTGGGAGCCAAGTCACCAAGATCCTGGTTCTTGCACCTGCCGGTGGGAGGGGCCTGGTGCCCGTGAAGCACCGTTCTCTGACCCCAGAAGCCCAGTCCTTCTCCCAAGGTCCAGCTCCTCACACACGCCCCAGCCTCCACTGGCCTCAGAGCAGCAGAAAACACTCCTGGGAAACTTCCTCCTCGCTTGGCATGTGTGGGCTGCGGCCTCTTGCTGTTGAAGGCCAGGACAACAGGCATCAGTGTATCGATTGAGCCGCTAGTACGGGGAGAGCAGAGTGGAAAGGGGGGGTTACAGAACTGAGGTGGGTTCTTCTAGGGGCAAGGTGGCTTCTCAGACGAGGAGTCAACCAGCTGCTCCTGCCACTGTGCCAAGGAGAAGGGGAGGGGCCTGGATGGGGGGTTATCACAGTGCCCGCCCCCCATAGGAGCAGAAGGAAGGAGCAGGAAGACAAGCTGGCTTGTCTCTGTCCCCTCCAGCTGTCACTCAGGACACGTCCCCCATGCTAGAAGGATTTCTCCTGTCCATCCTCTAGTTGGATATTGGGTCTTGGATCTCCTGTGAATTTCTGCCACAAGCAAAACTTGGCTGAGTCTGTGACCACGAGGCATTTAAGATGCAGAGTTTGTCCCCCCAGGGTGGGGGGAGGGGACAGGACAGAGGGTTGGGGCCCAGAATGACGCTCCGTGGGGAGCCAGAGGGGCAGGTAGCTTCAGGGTAGCTACGTGGGAGTCCAGGTGAGGGAGCTGACACCTGGCGAGATGAATCGGTTTGTTTAGGAGCTCATGCTCGTTGGCGGGAGAGCACGACTACGCTCAGGTCATCAGACGCCTGGGCCTTCCTGCCACCGCAGAGGCCGTCCCGTCCAGCATGACGTGGCGGCACAGCTCTGGGGGCGGAGTGGCAACCCTGTGTAACCTCGACCCCTTTCAGGCATCCCGTGCCCGGCACTAAGTGTCACGGGAGTCCTGAGGTCTGCCTGGCCTGACAGCCTAGGCGGTGGAGCACGGGGGGCACTGGACCCTTTGGGGTTTCAGCCTGGATAAGCCTCCTGACTCTGCAGGAATCAACGCTCTGTGGAAGTCCCACAGTCCCTGCTGCAGCCTCTGTGCCTCCCATCTCCTTGATCTCTCCTGCTTCCAGGGTGGCTCGTGGCTTTCCCGGCAATGCCATCACTTCCTTACACTTGGACTCGTCATCATCACACTCCCACAGCTGAGCCTGAGTGTGCCCCCCGCCGCCTCCTCTCCACGCGCTGCTCCGGGTGTAGCTGCTCTGTCCCCACCAGACGCGCTCTCCAAGCCTCGCTCCTGCCCGGGGAGGGGCGCCCACCTCTCTGCAGACCAGACTCCTGCTGGCCACGTGAGCTCTTCTGCACACACTCAGCAAACGTCTTGTGCACCCTTGCTATGTGCTGGGTACGATGCTACAACCGGGTCTCTGCCCTCGAGCAGTGCTCAGGTGAGTGAGGAAGCCGCCAGGTAAATCAATGGCTTCACTGCAGCGTGATGACCCATGTTTGGCCATAATGGACACAGGCAAAAGGAGTTTAAAAGCAAAAAAGAGGGACAGTCAAGTCAACCTGGGGAGCAGGAAGCTCCCGGAGAAGGTGGTGCTTGGCTGGACCACTGGGGGTCAACTAGGGGAAGGGCGTGAGGGAAGGGAAAATGCAAAAGGGGCAGCGCCAGGCGGGTGTCCAGCTGCCTGGAACTCACTGGAAATCTCTCCTCTCCTCACCGGGGGGAGGGTGTCATGGTGGAAATTTCCCCCCAGCAGGAAAGTCAGATACAGGTGTGGACCCGGGGCAAGTCACTGACCCTGACCTCATGGAAAATTGGACACGATGGTCTCTCAAGTCCCTTCCAGCCCCAGAACTGCCCTCTCCCCCTAGACCGCTCTAGAAACCCACAGCTGATCAAGATGCCAGTGGGAGCCCTTCTGTCACGATGTTTCACTCCAGCGCCTTCATTTCTATTATTACACCAGTGATTTATTCCAAAAACATAAACTAAGCAGCAAGAGTAACTGGCTCTCTAGGGAGAGGTCTGTCCCCTGCAAGCCGCCGCCCCAGCTCGGTGTGCCTGCTGTGCTTGGGCTCGGTCCCACTCTTGGGCGGCAGGGGGTGGGGGATGACAGCAGGGCTGGCCAGGGAGGCTTCATCTCAGAGTCTGCCCGGACACTGGGCCTTACCAAACAGTACTGTCAGCAAGGCGCTGCTCTAGTGGATTTGAAACCTGGGTGAATGTCATTCTGCACTCCGAGCTGTAGTTTCCTCACCTCTGAAATGCGGGGGAAAATTCTTGACAGTTTACGAACCCAGGGAAATGCAAAGACTTGGGTCCTGGCCGGGTGACGGATTAGATCCAAACGGTGCCATGTCTCCTGTTGGCTGGCTCTCCGCATCTGAGAAAGATGAACACAGCTCCAAGCAGCGCCCCTTCTCCAGGGGCCATCACGGGCACCTCCTGTTAGCTCTGCTCCCAAACTGCAGGGCTGGCGAGAGAGACGCTGTCATGGAAGGCAGGGCCTGGGACCACCCGCTGTGTCCTTGAGACGAAAAACCTGGAGTTTAGGGCTTCCCTGGTGGTGCAGTGGTTGAGAGTCCGCCTGCCGATGCAGGGGATGCGGGTTCGTGCCCCAGTGCGGGAAGATCTCACATGCCGCGGAGCGGCTGGGCCCATGAGCCATGGCCCCTGAGCCTGCGCGTCCGGAGCCTGTGCTCTGCAACGGGAGGAAGATTAGGAGACAACCTGAGACCCTGCCCACACCCTAATCTTGTCAGCAACCCCATCCTTGAACTATTGCTATGAAACTCCTCATCAAATCCTCCCAGGTTGAGACACGTAGCTTTTCGAGGCAGGAGCCCACTGTGTCCCCCCTTGCCTGGCAAAGCAATAAAGCTATCCTTTAAAAAAAAAAAACAAAAAATCTGGAGTTTAAAACATCCTCCCAATAATCCATTGTGCTTGGCTTCTCCTGGCTGAGATGGAAATTGGTGAAGGTTGTGTAGGGGGGCTGGGCTGGGCAGACGTGTCACTGGGGCCTTCTGGGTAATTGCTTCTTCCTCGGAACCCAGGGGGACATTCTGCTTTCACAATGCTGTCGTTTGTCACTCAGCATGTGCTAGCATGTATTTCAGTGACTTAAAAAAAATATAGCCCGTCTGCATTTCAAGCCTTTCAAGGGAAAGAGCAGAGTGATACACAGTATGTGTTCAATAAATGACTGGTTTGCTAATTGCTGGTGATTATAACCCCAGTTTCAGGGCTTATGAGTTTATTAAAGAATTGGAATTGTGAACTGTCAAAACATAGGGGTCTTAAAGTCCCAGGCCAGCTTCCTTACAGACCTGCACAGCATAAGCTGTCATCTTTCTGTTTAAAATCCTCTAACAGGTGTGTGTGACAGGAAGGCCGACACCTCTCAGCTGACTCTCACTTTGCATCTTGCCCACGGTCCGTCAGCAGCGACAGAGTCGGGCTGGAACACTGACTCCAGGCTCATTCTTTTTTCTACCACATCCTGAGTCTTTTTGGTGTGTGGACCAAGGCAGCGGTTTCTGGATGGTTCTGTGAACTCAGCTATGGGTCAGAAGGCTGAGGCTACAGAGGAGAAGGCGGCCTCTCCAAGTTCCAAAGTGCAGTGCTGGGCCCTCTGGGCTCTGGAGCAGGATGGCCACACCAAACCCCCCATACCCTCCGCCTCCCCCACTGCTGCCATGTCTCCTTCCACCAGGGGAGGAATATGGTCACGGCCGTGTCCTGCGGGCAGTAAAGGCCCACTGGACACCGCCTGGGGGGGCGTGTTAGACGTGGAGGAGTGGAAAGTACTGGATTAAGGCTGCTTTCTCTTCTCTCGCCAAAGGGAAGTCCCTGCACAGCTATGAAATGGCAGCGAGCTTTGAAGAAGGCTTTCTAACCACCCAGAGCCAGTCCTGGATTTTGACGTTCTGTCACTTAGCACAGTTCCTTCCCCACCAACTGTCTGCTATGACACCACGGAGCTAAATAGCAGAGCTGCCGAAATTACAGTCAAAGGAGAGGGGAATTAAGACACCAGCAAGGGAGGAAAGATTTTTTTTAAGCAAGGAAGGGAATAAGACAGCAACCAATAAAACAGACAGAAGCAAGATGTCTGTTCCAGGTGGCGAGAGGCGGGGATGTCTTTTCTGTGGCAACTTAGTCTAAGATGACGAAGATGCTCAGAGAGCGTGTGGTGACAGCAGCCTCCTTCAACAGGGAGCATCTCATCGAGAGGTACTTATCCCATCACGTGACCTCGGGGGCCAACCAGATGGCTTACGAGCTTAGCAGTTCTTCCTTAACTTCAGCAAGAGAAGGCTTGACCAGAGGAAGGAGAAGGGGCCACAGGGAGGGCACATTTGCCTGCTGGACGCCTATGATTTCACAGAGGGAAAGAGCGGGAGTTCTCGTAAGTAAGGGCAGACGCCTGTGTAGAAGCCAACCACTGTGCTCTCTGACCAGGCTGTCTGCTCAGCCAGGACCGATGGATCTGCTCCAAGAACACAGAGGTGGGTTTTCCAGATGATGAGGGCAACGCAGAACAGGCACTTGGCACAAAGGCTTGACTAGAGGACAGTCGTCTTAAGACCCTGCCACGCTTCTAGCCCGAGTGACTGCTGCTGAGAGCGGGAGCGCTGGGTCCGCCCTCTCTGTCACCTGCCCCGTGTCTAAATGCACGGTGAGGATCCGGACAGGAGTATCATGATAGGGTCACCTGCGATTTGTCCAGGAGTGCAGGAATAAATATTGCATGTTCTCCTCTGACATAATCTTTTCTCTTCCTTGGTCCCCTCCCCTCCCCTCCAAGTCCCCAAAGGGGGCAGCTTTCTCAAAAGAAGGTCTTGGCTCTCCTCCCCTAGTTTCTTGCCTCAGTCTCCCCAGCTCCCATCGTCCTCACTAAACCCCGCCAAGTGAAAAGGTCTTCATTTAATTAGAAGACTACTGGCCCTGCAGCCCCTGTTAGTGAGGGTTTTCTGAGAGCTGGATTGTGCCTGGCCACGATTCCCTCTTCTTTGTGGCATCAGAGGCATCCAAGATTCCACTGTGAATGACTGAGAAACTGACTTGCCAGTTACCAGTGGTGGAAACTTATAAACCCCAGGACTCACCATTTAGAATCAAATTCTTCTCAAGTTGGGTGAGATCTCCAGAACGATGCAGTGTTAGAGGCTGATGAGGTCTTCACGATTTTCACCTTTACGAGAAGGGGAACCTGAAATCCAGAGGTGACCAAGGGCTTCCTCAACGTTCTCCCCCTACCCCAACTCACCTGTAGTTCACCCTGCCCTCACCTTTAGATGTAATTGCTTTAAAGTCATCTCTCCTCTTCCTAAACTTCTTATAAGGGAAAGCGTTTTTAAGCTTGGTATGCAGAAGATCCAGACGCCTCTAAACCTCTAAGACAGGAGGTGCCATCCTAACAGCAGTAAAGTCTTCCCATCTAACTTTCATTGGTTTTGCTGCCATCTTTCCTAAACCTTTTCAGTAAAGAGAGAAAGGGGGTCCCACCTTATACATACCCTTATGTGTTTTTCACTGGGTGTCAAATAGGCAAATCTGCCCTCCCCGGGCCTTGCTTCCCTTGTTGAAGTTGACATATGAGAGATTCCTTGCTCATAAGCCATCTGCTTAGCCCCTGAAAGTCAGATGAAGGTTGTCAGTCCATTGGAGAACTGACTCTTTGCCTAATGACAGAAAAGTAATATCTTTAAAAGCTTTCTCTTTTATTTCATGCCGGAGTTCAGGTTGATTTATAGGGTAGATCCAGCCTGGGCTTCTGGTACCCAAGCCCGTCAGAGAGGAAAACTGGCAGGAGAACAAGACAGAGACCTTCGTAGGTGGGACTGTGGAATAAAGATGCAGTGGGCGGGTCTTGGGAGAGCTCCCCAGTTTTGTACTATGTAGTTCTCGAGACGTACCCGTGAGCATCTTGAAGCATCTGAGGAACTGCTAAGAAGCCAAGCTAAAAATACCAGGGAACAGCGCAGTCAAGGAGGAATGCAGAGCTGGGCGTGAGCTCCCCCTGGAAGGTGTGAGACTCGGGCACGGGGGCCAGCCTGCCGTGCACACCTCGGGCTGAACCCCGAGTCAGTCTGACACAGGTGGGAGGAGTGGATGTTTCTGGCTTTAGACCCTTTTATTTTTGAATCCTCCAGTCCTGTTGTGCAGAAGTGTCTCATGAGCCCTGACCATGTGCCTGGAACTAACAGGGGAGGACACACCACTCCTTGGGAACGTGAACTGTGAAACCTGCTGCTCCCCTCGCCCTTGGTGACAAGTGGAACTTGGCTTTGGTGGCTTCTGGCTCTCTGTCCACCCCCGTTTCAGGATCGTACTCCTTCTAACACTTAATCATGTGTCCCTGACAAATATCTTCTCTTGTCTGCTTTTACGAACCCTCTGTTCCTGATTATTGGGAACATTTTACCATTGTCACATCCTCCCACCCCTAACCTCCAGGGGTTCCATCAGCAGCTTAATGGTCTCCAGGCAGCAGGACCCACTCCCCTCAACCTTTCTGCCCGATACATTGTCAAATCTCAAAGGCCTCCCCTCAAGGTTCTCTTAACTTGAGGAGTAGGGGGTGTGGGGTGGGGGAGGAATGCTGAGTAGGGGGACAGTCTTGCTTTCTTCCTGAGGGCCCTGTTCTCCATGTTGGTGAAAACCACTCAGAATCGTGTACTTTTTCATGTTTTAAAATAACAATTGTGGGCTTCCCTGGTGGCGCAGTGGTTGAGAGTCCGCCTGCCGATGCAGGGGACACGGGTTCGTGCCCCGGTCCGGGAAGATCCCACGTGCCACGGAGCGGCTGGGCCCGTGAGCCATGGCTGCTAGGCCTGCGCGTCCGGAGCCTGTGCTCTGCAATGGGAGAGGCCACAACAGTGAGAGGCCCGCGTACCACAAAAAAAAAAATAAATAAATAAAAAATAAAATAAAATAACAATTGTTATTTGAGACAAAGACTTGTCTTTGAGGAATCAGAAGTCTAAAGACAGACATCCTGATATGGGCAGCCATCCACAGGACAAAAAGAGCAAACTTTAAAAAAGTAACACGAGACATTAAGCATTTATATCATGCATACGTTAAGGTAAGTGGGTTTGCACTCTGATATAATTTGGTTAATCTGTTCCTGGCTGTTCCCTCAGGAAACGCTCCCTCCCTTGTATCCTAAATTATTTTCAAAGACTTAGAGGACAGAGGCGCAGATACGGGTAACCTTCTGGCTGTAGCATCTTGCTGCTGTCTTGTCATCTGTGAGAGATGGATTGAGTAAGAGGTCACGGGGTGACTCAAGAGAGCTGAGTGCTAGTGATGAACTTTTGGGCAGGTTTTCAAAAAGATAAAATACCTGTTTTCATTTGTTCAGCCTCGACCCCTTTGTAAAACTTTCCTTTTGAGCGCCGCATGGATATAGCCTGTGCACACAGTATGTGTGGTCTTACTTACAAGTCAACAAGTTTACCTCGGGGGTAGGTAGGTTCTGCTTTACCCAGAAACTCTGAAGGGCTTCGCATTTTGTGAATGGAGAAATGGTAATTTCCTTACGGGCTGGAACCTGGAGATGCTGAAGCAGCTCTGCTTTTCCCGGAGCCAAGATCCCCGTGTGGCCTGTGGGCTGCTCAACACACAGTGGATGCCTGGGAGGCAGTGAGCAGATGAAGGACATGCCGGTCCCTCCAAGCAACCCCACTCCTTCCCCAAAGTGTCATTCTTTGGGAAATTCCTGTAAGTACCAGTGCGCCTCGTATAGGAGTTGGATTGAGAGCAGAGCCCTGCAAAGTCCCCACATGAGGGCCTGACCACGGCAGCCTCTTCGAGGAAGTGGAGCTGGGGCTCTGCTGTGGGGCGTTGCTGGAGGGGAAGGACCCAGAGGCTGAGCCCCTCCTGGGGAGTCTGCCATGACTGTGTGGGTGGGGTGCGGGGCTTTCCCAGGCAACTGAGATGGGGATGGTGAACGGCCTTGAGCTGAACCGAGGGCTCGGGAAGATGCTGTTTTCTCTGCCCTCGGGATCTGGGCATCTGCCTCTCAGCTCTTCCTCTGGCAGTCCCGTTTGCATAATGTGATCTTGGCCAGATGTGCTGCATCCTGGCAGGGATCCCGACACCTACTTCACCTACCTTGAGCCCTGAAGAGCGTGGGAGCTGGTGGAGAAGCTCTCCCCCAGGGGGTCTGAGGTCGGTCTCTGCCGGCTTCTCCTGTCAGATGGCGTCATTTCGTGGGTGACAAGGTCCTGGCTGCCCTTCCATCTCTCCGTCGGCCTGTCCTGCCCCTGGTCCTCCCTCGAGGGACAAAGCATCTGAGCAGATGGGCCCTGATTTTATTACTCACCAGGGTAAATGGGGTCATCACAACCCATGGTCTCTGAGCTCAGACTCACTGCCCCCATGGAGCTGGGGGCCGGGGTCACAGCCACTCTGTGTGGTGGCCCAGACAGAGAGTGAAGCACTGCTGGACAGTTTCCCTGCACCTTCCTCACCTTCCTTCCATTTGCGAGGGCAGCTTCGTCGCCATCAGCCTCTCAAAGGTGCAGCCGAGTGCTTCCCTGGTGGCGCAGTGGTTGGGAGTCCGCCTGCCGATGCAGGGGACACGGGTTCATGCCCTGGTCTGGGAAGATCCCACATGCCACGGATCGGCTGGGCCCGTGAGCCATGGCCGCTGGGCCTGCGCGTCCCGACCCTGTGCTCCGCAACGGGAGGGGCCGCGGTGGTGAGAGGCCCGCGTACCGCCAAAAAAAAAAAAAAAAGTGCAGCCGAGCCGCTGCCATCTCTGCTTGTGGGCTTGGGTGCAGCCTCCAGGGGCATCACTTTGGGCAGTGGCCACAGGGCCACTCAGTGCCTGCAGGCCGCCTCGCTAGTCCTGTGCCCAGCCTTCCGGACCTGGCCTGCCAGTCTGGAAGCACTCCCGAGGGATGCGCCCCAGGCAAGGACACAGAGCCGCAGGAAACACACTTACCCGCTTCGTGCGGAGCCTCACAGGGTAAAGCTTTTAAAAATAATTCATGGTAATTTCTGTTACAACACCGACCACATAAATCACTAAAGGGAAAAAAATCCCAGCCAGACCCAGTTTCAGTGTCCAAGCTGCTGGGTTTCATGGAGGCTGATGTCCTGGTGAAAATTCCTAGTTCGAGGTCTTTATAAATGCTTCTTTCTTGGGATTGTCCTAGGACCACATGAGGAAAGAAAACGTGTGAGGCTTGGACTGTGGAACGAGGGAAGACCGGAGCCCCAGCCGGGGGTGGGCTTCGAGCACCAGTTGGATGGTTTCCTTTGATGGAAAGAGCAGAGCAGCTGAGCGTCCAGGAGGATGGCGTGTCCCTCCCCAGGCCTGCCCGCCTCCCCTTTGTGTCCCAGAGCTTTGACTGCATTGCTCACGCGCTCCCCGCCCCACCAGCACCCCTTCTCTATGCTTGCCACCCCTCCCCCAAGGCAGCATCAGCCCTCCCACTGCCTCTGAACACTCCCCGGCCTCTGTCTTGCCTTCACTCCCTGCGGCGGGGTTAGGCTCCTGGTGGCCAGACCACCACCCACCTTCCTAACAGGGGCGAACGCTGGTGGCTTCTGCATGCTCTCTGATCTCCATCCCTATCCCATCCAACAAAGTGGATGGCTTTGTTCCTTCCTCTCCTTGCCTTTGGTTAGAATTATTGTCCCCTGTCCCCCTCCGTGGCCTAAAGTCCATTCTCTTTCTCCAATCATCCATGTGATGGCCAGTCTCCAGCATGGC